TACTAATTGTAGCTTTTGGACCACATTCCATTCCATGTGTTCAATTCACTGCCACATCTCCAAGCATCTTCAGAGAAAAATGAAGGAAAAAGAAAAAGATTAGATAGGAATCTAAAGTTGAGAAAGAAACTTTTTTAAAAGCGAACACGGAAAGGGGAAAAAGTAGTGAGGCATTGTCGGCAAGCTATCCTCTCGTTCCCACTATTCTAAGGGTAATATTCACGGCTCCATTTTTTATGTATATAGTCTTCTATTAAGTCTTCTGCTAAGTCTTTCTTTTAATTTTATAATGTTATATAATTATTGATCACTTTATGATAATAAATTAATTTTTGCACTTTTGTTAAGCACCTTAGTGAAAAGATTGCACCAACCAACCTCCCTTGTAATTGGTTTCAACTTGCCTACTTAATTCAAATACTGGAATACCCTGACACTAATTGTTCCTTTTTGGATCACTTTACAGATATTCATTTCACTGCCATATCGCCAAGCATCTTCTAGGAAATATCCAGCAATATCACTTCTTTAAAGTTCGCTCTGCTCCTTGATCGTCTCACCTTTCTCTTATTATCTTTCTCAATCATTCATAGAATAAATAAATCAATTAATATAAATTTAGAACAAAATCCCCACATAGCACCACGAACAACCCTAAAAAACCCATTTTCTTCCGATTTCTTCCGAACTCTAATGGCTGCTTCGTTTCCATCAAACCGAAGTCGGGATCATCATGTATTCTTGAGTTTCAGAGGTGAAGACGTCCGCAAAACTTTTCTGGGACATCTCTGTTCTGCTTTAAAAAAGGAAGGATTCAGGACATATAAAGACGACAATGAGCTCGAAAGAGGAAGCGACATAGCCCCCAGCCTACTAGAAGCCATCGAGCATTCCAGAATTGCAATTGTCGTGTTCTCCGAAAACTATGCTGATTCTAGATGGTGCCTGGATGAGCTGGTCAAAATCCTCGATTGCAGGGACAAGTTAGGTCAGAATTTTTGGGTTCTACCCGTTTTCTTTCATGTGGATCCCTCAGACGTCCGCAACCAGAGGGGGATCTTTGGCAAAGCCTTTGCGTGTCACCAGAACGTTACCATGGACAAAGTAGAGAGGTGGAAGACTGCCCTTACCGATGCTGCGAACATTGCCGGCTTTGATCTTCAAAGTGTCAATGGGTACTTCATTCATCTCTTTCTTGCTTGAAAAATTATTAGGATAAATTTCTTCTCTTGGTACCAATCTTTTTTTTTTTTTGACCGTCTGCACTGAAAATGCCTTTTCTCATGCCTACAATTACTTTAGCAGATGTAGTGTAGCATATAGCACTCAGACATGTAAAGTGTATGCTGAAATTTTCCTAAAGTGCACTTAGTTGGATATCTCTGTTGTGTTTTCCAACATCAAATTTTAATCCTTTTCACAACAAGCAGGGATGAATCCGAGTTGATCGAGAAAATTATTGAAAATGTTAGGCAAAAAGTGCATCACACTTGTCTTGGCAAGAGGAAGATGTTTGAAAAAGGTAGTTTTCCTGAAGACCTTGTTATTGAGAGAGCTCCAGCTCGTGGAAACAGAATTCCAACAGAGGATTTAGTGGGGGAAATTTCTACTAAAGAAGAAATTTGGGGGTATTTGATGGGTGATGAGGTTGGAATGATCGGAGTTTGTGGGATTGGTGGAGTTGGAAAGACTACGATCATGAAGAATCTCCACAATGATTTACTGAGGGAGACTAGATTTCAGAAAGTCATTTGGGTTACTGTATCACATCTTCCCAATGTTTTTGAATTACAAAAGAAGATTGCTGGTGCTATGGGCAAAAGACTTCTAAATGATGATAAAGATGATGATGGAGTGATGATGAGAGCGGGGGAACTAATGGATATAATGGAAGGAGTGAAATTTGTGGTAATATTAGATGATGTATGGGAAAAGTTCTCTCTTAAGGAAGTTGGAATTCCGGATCCGAAGGCACAGAATGGGTGCAAAGTAGTTGTCACTAGTAGATCAATTGAAGTATGCAGTTATATGAGTTGTAAGATTGTTAAAGTGCAACCTCTTTTGCAAAAGGAGTCTCTAAAGTTATTCCT